TTTATTTTATTTATTTATTTTTGGCTGCTCGGCATGGCATGCGGGATCTTAGTTCCCCGACCAGGGATCAAACCCACGTCCCCTGCACTGGGAGCTCGGAGTCCTAACCACTGGACTGCCAGAGAAGTCCAGACATCATCATTATTAGTATTTTAAAATAAACTCTGTCCTTACTGCCACACTTGACCAGTGGTTTCCAAAGCTGGCCCTTGAATCAGTACCGACTTAGATGCCTCAGGTCCCATTTGGTAGGCCTGACATGGGACCAGACACCCATCCTATTGTTTTTACATTGTTTAGTTGCGGGCATAATGTCCATGCGGTGAAATGCACATATCTTAAGTATGCAGCTAGATCCATTTTGAAAAATGTTTGTGCCTGCCTACCCCACACCCTACCAAGACAGAACTTTTCACCACCCTAGAAATTTCCTTCATGCCCAGTGGTGTGTTAGTAGAGGTGAACAACTTTTCCCCTGGGGGAAAAAGGCTCTGCTTTATTGCGTTTCCTGATCTCTGTGGTGTGAATATTCCTACCATGGCCAATTTCAGGTTGTCAGTGTGATGACACTGAAAGCAGAGTCAGGAAGACAAGCTCACATTCAGTTCTTGAAAACCGGCACCAGCCGACTTCAGCACAGCCCCTTCCAAGTCCGTCTCTGCCACCCCATCCCCAGGCAACCATGCATCTGTTCTCTGTCACCATAGATTCATTTTGCTTATTCTAGAGTTTCATACAAATGGAAGCATTTAATATGTACTACTTTCATCTGGTTCTTTCACTCAGCACGGTTTTGAGATTCATCCACGTTGCTACATGTATGGTAGTTCATTTCTTTTTATTACTGAGTAGTATTCCATTGTATGGATATACAGTAGTGTTTATCTGGTCTCCTGGTGATGGACACCTCGACTATTCCCAGTGTTTGATGCAATGAATAAAGCTGCCATCAACATTCTTGTGCAAGTCTTTAATTTCTTTTGGGTAAATCCCTGTGAGTGTAATAGCTGGGTTGTAAGTTAGGTATATGTTTAACTTTATGAAAACTGCCAGACTGATTTCCATAGTGGCTGTACAATTTTATACTCCTACCAGCCAAGTATGAGAGTCCTGATTGCTCCGTATCTTTGTCAATACTTGGTGTTGTAAGACTTCACTTTAAAAAAAAAAAAAAAAAAAAAGAGTTCCTCAGGTGATTCTGTTTCACAGCCAGGCTTGGGAACCTGTGGACTGGACTCCTTGCAGTTTCCTAAATATTAATGGCTAATATTAATTGAGCACTTGCTAAGTGTCTGGCTCTTCCCCAAGACCTTTAACAATGCTATATCATTTAAATATCACAACAACCCCCTGAAATAGACACGATTATTCTTCCTATTTTACAGATGAGGACAATTAGGTACAGAGAGTTTGAGTAACTTGCCTAAGGTCACGCTCATAAGTGACACAAGTTGGCTTAGAAACAGGCACTCTGGCTCTGGGCCCATCAGTTGAACCACTGAACTATACTTGCCCATACAAATTGTGTATACAGGTCCCCTGTTGGGCTTATCAATAATTGCTGCCATTATTATTTTCATTCAAATCCTACTCATCCTTCAAAGTTCAGCTCAAATTCCACCTCTTCCATCCAGTTTTCTCTGTCTCCCCCTCTCCTCCTGCCTCTGTGTAATTCCTCGATGTAATCATAAGTCCTTCAGAAATGTATGAGACTTTTGGGTTGTCTTTTATTTCTGTTTTTGACTGTCTTATCATGCTCGCTGTATTTGTAACATCACTGAGAACAGGGTCACTCCATGTTTATCTCTCTATTCCTGGCATGTTGACCTGAATTTAATGTTTTTATAAATATGGTTGGCCCTCTACATCCACGGGTTCCACATCCATGTATTCAACCAACCACATGGAAAATATTCTGAAGGAAAAAATTCCAGAAAGTTCCAAAAAACAAAACTTAAATTTGCCCCACTCTGGAAACTTTACATAGTGTTTACATTGTATTTACATAACATTTACATTGTATTTAGTAATATAAGTAATCTAGAGATGATTTAAAGTAGATGGGAGAATGGGACTTCCCTGGCCATCCAGTGGTTAAGAAAGACTCCACGCTTCCACTGCAGGGGGCGCAGGTTCAATCCCTGGTCAAGGAACTAGGATCGCACATGCCGTGTAGCGCGGCCAAAAAGTTAAAAAAAAAAAAAAAAGTATATGGGAGGATGTTGCATTGGTTATATGCAAATACTACGCCATTTTATAGAAGGGACTTGCGCATCCAAGGATTTTTCTATTGGGGAGGGGGTGGCGAGGGGGAGTCCTGGACCCAATCCCCATGTATACGAGGAACAATTCTGTACTATAGGCAGAATCACAAAAGTCCTTTACAAGGAGCTGTCTCGTTGAGAGATAACTCAATAGGGAATCACAGAAATTGGATTGCCTTTTCCCTAGGGAAAAGCACACCCCTTTACTTTCTTACTACTGAGCGAAAATGGATGTGCTGTTTTAAGGGGACCTGACACTTGTCACAGCCGGCTACAGGAAACCATGTTATGTGGCCTCCTTAATTACCCAGCGAAGCTGTTATCTCCTGCTCGGCTCCCTGCTTTAAGGCTTCTGCTTGTTTTATCTGGCCTGGCTCCACTGGTTAGCTTCTAGCTAGTTGGAAGACTATCAAATTGTAATCAGTCATTTCTTCCATACTGATGTATGAGAAACAGGACCAGCTACGTAATTTGTGAGACCTGGTGAAAAATGAAAATGCAGGACTTCTTGTTCAAAATTTATTAAGAATTTTCAGAAGAGCATTAAACAAAGAGTAGAGCCCCAGAGGTGCCACACCCATGAAGCCAGCCTGGATGAAAAGGGACTGAGCCCTTCTCAGCCAACAAAAACCAATCACAGAAAGATGAGCATGGGGACAATTATCTCCAAAGCGCTTCACCTCCCTTCTTAGTACAAACACTGCTGAAAAGGAAACCACCCGTGTTCTGTGTTATATTAAGGCTGATTGTTATGGATTGAACTGTGTCCTCCAAAAAGATGAATTCCTAAGCCCCCAGTACGTGTACGTGACAGTATTTGGAAATGGGGTCTTTGCAGATGATCAAGTTGAGGTCATTAGGGTAAAACCCTAATCCAATATGACTGGTGTCCTTATAAAAAAAGGGGGGGGGGATTGGGACACAAAGACAGGCATGCATAGAGAAAATGACGTGAGGGCACGCACACAGGGGGAACACACTATGAACACGAAGGCAGAGATGGGGGTGATGCAGCTACACAACAAGAAATGCCAAAGATTGCCAGCATGGAACAGATTCTCCCTCACAGCCCTCAGAAGGAACCAACCCTGCCTGACACCTTGATCTTGAAACCAAGCGGGGCCCTGTGGAGCTCCTGGACACAGAGGCCTTTCTGTCCCCCATTTCTTGTAGGCAAGACTCCAGCCTCCATGACCTTCCCTGAGTTCCAAAGGGCAGATTCGAACAGTTGCTAATCAAGGGGGGAGCAGCCACGAAGCCATCTGAGGCGAGATTAAAGGGACCAGAGAAGCTCTTCAAGATTAGGAGACCACTGGAGACCCTGCACACACCCTAATCTTGTCAGCAACCCCACCCTTTAGAAACTCCGCAGAAGAAAGAAGAATGTAAGACTATTACTGCATTGATCCTTATTGAATACCCCTGACCACAAGCCCCGAACATGAAACCTCTCCTTATTCCCCAGGGATGGGGTGGTGGGGGGGACATTTCTTGAGGTGCTGGCCTGCTGTGTTCCCTCTTTGCCTGACAAAGAATAAAGCCACCCTTTCTCTCTCCTCCAAGACTCTGTCTCTGTATCTCATTTTGGCATCGGTGTACAGGGAGCCAGTATTTTGGCATCAATCTCAGACTTCCAGCCTCTAGAGCTGTGAGACAATACATTTCTGTCCTTTAAGCCACCTAGTCTGTGGTACTACACCCACCAACCACACCAGGTTCCTCCTGTTACCCTCCTTAAATCTGCCCCACTCTGGAAACTATTTACATAGTGTTTACATTGTATGTACAATTGCCAAGGTCCTGACACACCTGGCAAAACAGATGTCCCAACAGGATTAGAACAAGGACAGGCCAGCACAATGTCAGTTTTGTTTTTCAAGACCTTTTTTCCTACAGAGGGAGGGAGTGTCTACATCAGCCAGGCCTCTGTGGTCACATTTTAGGAAAACTGAGAAACCTGCCTTCTGTGTCTCAGCCCCAATTTCAAGGAAGTATGTGTTAGTATCCTATAAAGTGAGGCCTTTTTCGAGCGTCTCCCAGCCTAAGCTGGACTGTGGCCTGCTTGCCACTCATTAGGATGACGTCCCACACTTAGTGGTACAACGTTCAAGTCTGAGGTCACAGATGAAGGGGCAACATTGGCTCGGATTCCTGCATCCTGAACCCCAGGAAGAAGATCCCTTCTTCCTGGCCCTTCTAAGGCGCGTCGGGGCGCCCTTCCATGTGGGCTCGCAAACGGGGCTCCCCCAGCAGTTCTTTGAGCTGAGGCCGGGGTGGGGGTAGGGAGGCCTCCCCTGGGGACCTGACGTCCCGGGCCACCCGGGGAAGGGAAAGGGGAAATGGGGCTAGTGTCAAAAGGGCGGAGCTGCTTCTTTGTGAGGAAACAATTTGCAGAGGCTGCCAAACCGGAGAGTCGGCAGGGTCGGCCCTCCCTAAAATGCCGTGAGCAACCCGAGCCGGGAAGCAAGCCAGTGTCTCAGGGCCGAGGGGCCCCGCGTGGACCGCGCGCACCCCAGCACAGCCGCCTAGCCCAGGGTCCCGGGCAGCAGCCGCCCCTGTGGGTGACGCCACGGCGGCGGGTTGCATCAGCCTGCTCCCACGTGCTCCGCCCGCCCTTCCGCCCACGGAGCCGGGCGCCGATTGGGCCACGTTGGGGCAGTGCTCTCCGCCCCAGCCAATGGGTGGCAGCCACAGAGGGTTCTGTCCGCAGAGTCCGGGCGCGGGGTTCCTATAAAAGGTCCCCGAGAGGGGCGCGCGCGCTCCAGAGAAACGAACCGCTTTTCTGGAGGTTGTGGCGGCAGCGGCACTTCCTGCCTGGCATCTGGGAGCGCCGCCGAGCCCACAGCACCGTCGACATGGAGCCCGAGCCCGTCACGCTCCTGGTGAAGAGCCCCAACCAGCGCCACCGCGACTTGGAGCTGAGCGGCGACCGCAGCTGGAGCGTGAGCCGCCTCAAGGCCCATCTGAGCCGCGTCTACCCCGAGCGCCCGGTGAGAGGAGCCCCCGGCTCCAGCTGCCAGCACTCCCCTAACCCCGGCTGTCATCCTCGCAGCCCTCCTCGCGTCCCCCTTGGGATGCCACGTCCTCCTCCCCTTTCCCTGTAACTTCTCGCTTCGCCGGCCTTCCCCTGACGGCTGGTGCTCCCCAGGTCCCCTCTCCCAGGCCTGTGGTCTCCCCCTTTCTGCCCTGCCGCCGTAGGCGCCCTCTGACGTGGCCCAGAGGCTGTCACTTCCTCGTTCTAGGCCGCCATCGTCCCGTCTTCCTGACGGGCCGCCTTCCCCTGTCACCTCGCGTCCTAGGTCCCCAAACTCTAACGGCTGTCACACTCCCGCCATACCTCTTCAGACCCCTTCCCAGTCCCCTAGATCTGGCTTCCAGCCTTAGCCAAGCCGCTGAAACAGCAGTTTGACCTTGAGTGAGTCATTTAACCCTCCAAGCCTCAATTTCCCCCAAACGTCGGAGTGACTGGGTGTTCCTCGTTAGGATTGCATCCGATGGGTAGGAATAAGGAAACAGAAGTGCTGCGAAATGAGTTTTCTGAATGTAGCCTCTCATTGCAGAGAGGTGAGGGCCCGGCCAGTGGCTAGAGAAACATTGTGAGCGCCCAGGCAGCGTGTACTTAAGGCCCCACACCCAGGAACAGGACGTGGCTCTTCCGCTCCCTGTGAGCTGGACTCCACAGCCTTTGCTTAGTCCCAGGGAGGAGCCCGGGGCACTTTCCGGTAAAAAATGATTTAGAAGGAAAATAGGTGGAAGGAATCTCCTGGAGTCTGGGTTTTAAGACTCTGGTCCCTCAATTGCAGAGACGTCCTCACTTTGTTTTGGTTGACATATCTGTCAACATCACCCTTAGGGCCGCCCTCCCTCCCCACCACGTGATGGAGGCTATGAGCTGGACCTTCCTATATTTACTTTCTACTCTAATATTATGTAAGTGTCAACAGTGTTCTTTACTGCCCACAACTGTAATTCTCCATCAAACAGGAGAGGGCATCAGGACAGGACAAGATTGTGAAATTGTTCTTTCTTATCTGAAATGTTGCAACGTGTCAGGTTGTAGCTTATGGGTCAGGTTGTTTTTGTTCCATATTGTCGAGAACGTGGAAGTGAGTTTCCCTTCTGAGTCGTTCTTTTGAAATGTGCTTATTTATTTAATAAGCTCCCATTCCTCTAGCATTCGCCTTGGCACTATTTGCAGTTTCACCATAGCTGCTCCCAAGAAACAGGTGGCAGTGCTGCTACAAGAATGGCTGTTAGGTGCGCAAATTGGCGAAGCAGGTGGAGCCTCTAGTTGCCTCATCTGGTAAAAGGCGGTGTTTTGGAGGAGGGCTTTCCTTTAGGGCCTCCTTGGGTGAGGAACATCACTCCTATTAAGTCCGAGGATCCAAAGGTGTAAATAAAAGGTCTCTCAGGTCTGTATATTTGCGTTTAAAAATTTTGGCTGGAGCACATTCGTCATTTGCTTTCTAATGTGAGAAGCCTTACTTTATAATAGTTGTTTGCTTAATATATATAGTTTTAAATCAGCCTCTGGATAAAGACGCAGAGTGTCGGTTCAGGCCTTTAACAGGCCTCAAATCACGGGCACCCGTGGTTTTCAAACCTTTTCTAGTGTGAAACTCTTTAATATAATGCAGGACCCCACCTATACAATAACATTTACAAGTCCAGGTTTATAGCATTTACATATGAAGTTCAGTCAGTGAGAACAACGATGAACACAGCATCCAGTATATTTCTGCAGTTGGTTATAGTTGCCCAGTGTCCGAAAAAAAAAAAAATCCTGATTTATGCAGATAAATAGGTATGGTTATTTTTTGTTTGTTTTAAACAGCTTGCTTTATAATCTTGGGCTACTTGGCAGGAGCAGCTTTATTCCAAATTTTGCATAATTGGTTATTTTGGCAAGAGTAGATTGAGAAGTTGCTGGTGAGCTCTGGTGTACTGACTTTGGTATGTATCACTTGAAGCCATTATTTAAGTCCAGTTTTAAATTTTATTTATGTTTGGCTGCGTTGGGTCTTTGTTGCTGTGCGCAGGCTTTCTCTAGTTGCAGCGAGCGGGGGCTACTCTTCGTTGCGGTGCGTGGGCTTCTCATTGCGGTGGCTTCTCTTGTTGCCTAGCACGGGCTAGGCAACGCGGGCTTCAGTAGTTGTGGCACGTGGGCTCAGTAGTTGTGGCTCTCAGGCTCTAGAGTGCAGGCTCAGTAGTGGGGGCGCACGGGCTTCGTTGCTCCGCGGCTTGTGGGATCTTCCCGGACCAAGGCTTGAACCTGTGTCCCCTGCATTGGCAGGCGGATTCTGAACCACTGTGCCACCAGGGAAGTCCCTTAAGTCCAGTTTTTAAGGGAATTAAAAATGGATTTTAAAAGTGAGATTTGTATAAAAGTGTGTGGCACGACTGTGGTTTTAAAATCACTGGAATGGAGTAGAGGGTTTGGATTTTTTTTTTTTTTTTTTTTTGCGGTACGGGGG